GTGGGCAGGGCGCGGGGCCAGCCCCGCTGCCGGAGCAGGAGCGGGGGCTCCGCGGTCCCCAGTGGAGGTCTGGGAGGAGGAAAAGCGGAGGAGGGAGGATCCGCGAGGATCCAGGTAGATCCAGCTTTTACCGCTTACCAAAAGGCACCAGCAGCAGGACCTCCGCCTCCTCCCTCCCCCCTTCCATCCCTCCCTCCTCCCCTAACTCCCTCCCTCCCCTGCCCCTCCGCGATGAGAGAAGGGCCAAGTCGGTGCGCGCCAGCCAGCAGCGCTCTCTGCCAGGGGCAGGCGGATCGCTTTCATGTCGCAGGGTGACTGCTAGCCCTGCGGAGGCTCCCCCGGCCGGGGCTGGGGCCGGGCCGGGCCGGCGGCGGGCGGGCAGCTGCCCCGTTTGCGGGGTGCCGCCGGCGCGCCCCGCGGGATGCTGGCGGCGGGGGATGCGGAGCCGGCCGCGGACTAACATGGGGGGCGGCCACTCCCACAGGGCGCCCGTCTTCGACGAGAACGAGGACGGTGAGTGCGGAGCTGTCCGCGGTACCGAGCCGCGCCCCGCCCGGCCCCKCTCCGGGCACGGTGCCGCCTCCGCTGTGCCCGGGCGCGGTCCCGCTCCGTGCGGAGCCGCGGGCGCTGCTCTGCCGCGGGCTGCCGGCTGCGGGTGCGCTGCCCGGGGAGCAGCGGGAGAKCCCGCCTTTGTCCAGCCATCCATCCACACCGAGAGCGTGGGTGGCTGCTTTTAGGCACAGGCTCAAGTCTAGCACTTCGTCAGCTGGGGCTTAAGCACATGGCAGGTAACTTCCTACCTGCATTTGTGAATGGGCATCGTTTTGGAGATGGATGCCAGCGGTTTTGCTTACCGTCTCTTTGCCCACCTGCCTGTTTTAAATGGTGATGTCTTCTTCCATCACCTTTACTTTCTGAAACTTTTTGGTTTTCTGCTTGTGGTATTACTCTTTGTTTCTACTCCCTGCCTAGATAAAATGTCACAAGAAAGTGTCTCTTGTAAAGTTTTGGAAGGCAATGGAAAAGTTTGCCTAAAATGTGGTGTTTCTTTGCTCTTTATGCATTTTAATGTCGTTTTCCAATGTAGACTGTATTTAACTGGAATTRTGTGAATGCATTTCAGTTAGAATATCTTTGAGTCTTGAAGCAGAGAGAACACAGCACTCTTAGAAAGCAGATATTAACAGTATAAGTAGTATATTCACATAGAAATGTTTTTAATGTTACTTATGAGATAGATGTTGCTGCTTATCTGGACAATGTGTGCCTAATTTTGAGTGTGTTTCTTCCACAGAATTTCCCAATGTATTTTATTAGGAAGTGATTGTGCCTTAATAGACTCACAATGTTTTGACTTCCTGGATTTCACAACAAGTCAAAAAACATGTRTGTTCTGCACTATATGTCCAGGGCACATGGAGATATTTGTATTGTTTTGGTAGTAGGGGGGAAAGTCTAAATGCATGTAAAAAGCTTAAAAGGATGAATACATCTTTACTTGCATTTAAGACAAGATTACAATTCCCCATTCCCTGGCAAAGCTTGATGAGGTGTGGTTTATGACATTCCATTGTTTGTGCAGGGAATGGGACAGATTATTTACCATTTGTGTACTGTGCAGCCATAGCTGTCATTTCCTTGTACTGATATAAAATTTCAGACTTTTACCATAGGTCATGCCATGTAAACAAACAAGAGAGAAAGAATCCCCCATGCGTCCCCCCAGGTCAAGTCTCAATCACGCACAATTGGCGYTGTAAACCTTGAGGTAACTCACTGAGAAATACTCCAGAGTGAAAGCAGGCTGTTATTCTTGTCTAGATACCCTAAGGTAAAAAGATATCCATGCTTCTGCCTTTGAAGACTTTTAATTGGGCTCTCCTGAGTTAGCAGTTTCCATGAATTATTACCACCTTTATTTTTTTTTTTCCATGATACAAAAATGCGGTCAGTTTTTGAACAAAATGAACAGAGTTCAATAGTAAATTATTGCAGAGATGCCTTCATGGGCACTTAGTTCTTTCTCCATCAGGAAAACATTTGTGTAATGTAGTCATTATTAGCAGCTAATAAAAAAAGAAGCACATGAAGTATTTATGGATTTTTAATAGKTCATCATTTATTCTTTGCATGGTTTTGTTTTGTTCTGAGGTGGTTTTCTCCATTATGAATGTTCCCAACATAATCTTCTATTTCTCTTAAGATACTTTGCTTAGCACAACCATCTAGTTCAGAAGAGTCCATTGCTTTTGAAGCAATAACCRATTTCCAATRCTACTTACAAAATATTGTTCAGAGTGRCATGTTCCCATGTACCCAAAAAATACAGCAAAATATCTCCTCTTTGAAAATGTATTTTAYAGAATTTAATACAAAAGGAACCTGGTTTTCCATATTCCCACTAATAG